TTTCCTTGTATATTTTTTTTGCCTCCCCTTATTGGGTTTTTCTTTGCATGCGTTCGAAGGGGTGATTTGCCTTCGATCTTAACTTCGGTAGGTATGTCAGTTTTCGATTGTTGGCGACTTTTTCTTTTCCGACTCGGGGTGATTGAGTCGGGGCCGTTGTTTAACGGTAGTGGCGATTAACCTCAGTCCCAGCTCGGGCACGGTCGGGCTATTGGCCATGATGTTAAAAACGCGGCCGTGTAGTTTGACCGGGGTCGAGCTTTACGTGCCTCTAACTTTAACTCGAGTTTGGGCGTACTTACTTGGATGGCGGGGGTGCTTAACCCGTGCCTTGACCCCTTGGGGATTGAGTTCTGCTGAATTTGGCGGTGAAGGGGCTCTGTCCGAGTCCTGGTTCAGCCGCAGTTAGGATTGGTCAAATTTGAGGGTGAAAGCGTCTGAACTTTTGGTCTGTCCGTAGTCGAACTTACTAGTGAAGGCGCGTAGCCTGAGTCTCGGTTCAACAGTTGCTGAACTTTGTTAATTTTGAAGGCGAAGGTGCATAGCCTGAGCCTTGGTTCGATCATAGTCGGTCCTATTGGCGAAGGCGCATGGCCTGAGTCCTAGTTCAACTATTGCTGAACTTTGTCAATTTTAGAAGGCGGAGACGTATAGCCTGGGCTTTGGTTTAGCCGTAGTCAGATTTGTTGGCGAAGGCACATGGCCTGAGTCCCAGTTAAACTGTTGTTGAACTTTGTCAATTTTGAAGGCGAAGGCGCGTAGCCTGAGTCCCGATTCGACCGTAGTCAAATTTGTTGGCGAAGGCGCGTGGCCTGAGTCCCAGTTCAACTATTGTTGAACTTTGTCAATTTTGAAGGCGAAGGCGCGTAGCCTGAGTCCCGATTCGACCGTAGTCAAATTTGTTGGCGAAGGCGCATGGCCTAAGTCCCGATTCAACCGTAGTCAAATTTGTTGGCGAAGGCGCGTGGCCTGAGTCCCAGTTCAACTATTGTGGAACTTTGTCAATTTTGAAGGCGAAGGCGCATGGCCTGAGTCCCGATTCAACCGTAGTCAAATTTGTTGGCGAAGGCGCATGGCCTGAGTCCCGATTCGACCGTAGTCAAATTTGTTGGCGAAGGCGCGTGGCCTGAGTCCCAGTTCAACTATTGTTGAACTTTGTCAATTTTGAAGGCGAAGGCGCGTAGCCTGAGTCCCGATTCGACTGTAGTCGAATTTATTGGCGAAGGCGCGTGGCCTGAGTCCCAGTTCAACTATTGTTGAACTTTGTCAATTTTGAAGGTGAAGGCGCGTAGCCTGAGTCCCGATTCGACCGTAGTCAAATTTGTTGGCGAAGGCGCGTGGCCTGAGCCCCGATTCAACCGTAGTCAAATTTGTTGGCGAAGGTGTGTGGCCTGACTTTTAGTTGTGGGTATCGAGTGTCGAAGTTCGGTTTCGAATCAAGACTTTGAGCGGTTTACGCGTTGATTCTTCCCCATAGGTGCATGCAGGGTGTCTCGAGTTGGTTATTTTCTCAAGGTACTTCAATGCCGGTTTCCGATCGGATCCCGTATCTGGGATGCGGGAAATGCCCTACGGGAGTTCTCCCTTAAGGGGCACATAAGCTGGAGACTTCTTCTTCTTCTTCTTCTTTGCACTGCTGGAGATCGGAGAGAGGAGAGAGAATTTGCATCTTGGTTTGAGATCTCCGAGTTCCTCTTGGTTCAGGAACGAACTACACGATTTTGCTAAGAAATCCCCACAGACGGCGCCAAATTGTTTGCGCTAAAAAGTAATCAATATACTTTAAGAATACGAAACAACATATATGAATTACGGGCCAATCATAGCAAGTCGTAATAATCCATGAACCATGTTAAAGAAAATAATAATAAAGATCCAAGATTGGATTAAGAAGTATTGACCACTTTTATTCATGATATTGTGTTGGTCTGCCTCTCCATGAAGAGGTTCAGAGCCTTACAATGGTGTTGTATCTCTTCATGAGATGGACCTTTTGTGTCCGTTTCTTCTCTCTTGTTTTCTGGAGAGTCATGGTGAAGAAGAAGAAGAAGAAGCCCCCTGTTAATGGCGTATTCCTCTTGGATTTATAGTTGCCAATTACATGAACTGGAATAAGTGGTCGTGACCATAATGAAATTTAATCCCCATGGGAGATGAGTAGGCCGTACCCTTGTAGACGCCCTCCCTGAATGAGAGTTGACTAATGTTACGAACGAGTGGTCACTTCGCTCGTTAGTTGTGGATTACTTAAAGAGAGATTAACTTCGGTAATTATCATGGGGTCAGATTCTGACTCATACAATAACTATCTCAAATCCTTTGCCAAGACACTACAACCTTTAAATGTTCCCCATTATATAATGTCAAGGCGCATAAACCAATGCCGAGGATTTTCTAGGAGACTAATTAAACAACTTTTGAAGATGGAATATAAATAAACCCACGACCGAGAGATTTGATGGACAATATGGAATAAATGAATTCCATATGTTTGAGGATCAAAGAAATTCCATCCAGAGAATAAAATTGAATTGTAAATGTAAGATATGGCCTAAATTTATCCATAGCAAACTTGGAGCCAAAGAAGCCTAGCTTGGAGCCAAAGAATAAAAGTATTTTCTTTTATTCTTTTTTCTTTACTTGGGGACCAAGAACTTTGTCCTATAAATATAGGCCATCTTACTTCATTTGAATCATCCCATATTTTGATTAGAAGCTCACTTTGAGTATTCTTGTAATAGAGAGTTTTATTATATTCCATAGAGTTAGTGTTCGGAAACACTTTGAGTGAACCTCTTTTTTGTGAGTGATTGTAGCGAGGTTATTCTCTTGGGATATATTTTGGGATAATTAGAGTTTCATCTCTACTTTTTTACTCTCTTTTGTGTGCCGATTATTATAGTGAAATTGCTCCTCTCCGCTTGTGAACGTAGGTCACCTTGACCGAACCACGTTAAATTTGTGCCTCCTTTATATGCTTTAATTGCCGTTATTATCAACTTGTATTGTATTTGTTATTGTCATTATAACGTTGTTTGGCTAAATTCCGCACTATCCGGATTCCCGATCCTAACAAATTGGTATCAGAGCCGGATCTAACCGGGTTAGTTTAAGTAGACAATATGACTCTAACAAAGACTTATGTTGAGAAATTTGACTGAAGTGAAAACTTCGGGATGTGGCAATTAAAGATGAAAGCTATCCTAATTCAGGATAACTTAGACTTGGCGTTGCAAGGAAAGGAGAAAAAGCCGGATAAAATAAAGGACGATAAGTTTGCTATCATAGACAAAAAAACAAAATCAGGTATCATCTTAAATCTCTCAAATGAGGTTTTACGTGAAGCATCTGTAGAAACCACAGCCAAAGGCATGTGGGAAAAATGGAAAACCTTATATATGAAGAGAACGATGAAAAATAGACTTTACCTGAAGCAAAAGCTTTATACAACTCGTATGGGTGAAGGTACCTCTATTCTCTCTCATCTTGACACCTTTGATTCCATTCTTATGGATTTGAGTCATATAGACGCAGAAATTAAAGATAAGGACCAAGCCGTATTACTGCTTTGTTCTCTACCCCCATTTTTTAAGCATATAAGAGATACTATGCTTTATGCAAAAGATAATATATCTTATAAGGATATAAAATCTATCTTAAAAATCGAAAGAACAGATAGATAATGATATTACTAGGGAAACTAGTGGAACTCAAGCGGAAGTTGGCTTGTTCGTTAGGGGTAAATCCAACTCAACATCCAGACACAATATTTTACAGTGTCGCTATTGTAATAAGTAATGTCACATTATCTCCGAATGCTATAAGTTGAAAAATAAAGAAAAGCGTAAGGAAAGAAAAAATGAGCACAGAGATACTGACACCACTGAGCTAGTTTAGCAACTGATAAGATTGAGGGAACTATATTTTTAGCTACTGAAACTAGTTTCAAATCTGACAATGAGTGGATTTTAGATTTCGGTTGTTCGTATCATATGTGTTCCAACAGGGACTTATTTTCTACATATGATTCGGTTGAAGGTGGAGTTGTCCAATTGAATAACAATGCTACTTGTAACGATTGGCAAGGGTACAATTCAGATCAAAATGCATGATGGTATAGTGAGAACTCTCACTGATGTTAGATATGTTCCTGAGTTGAAGAAAAATCTCATCTCTTTGGGCACTTTAGAATCTCTTGGGTGGAAATTCACTGGTGAAGGTGGAGTTCTGAAAAATTTTCAAGGTGCTCTTGTGATCATGAAAGCACACAGATCTGGTTCATTGTATACTTTATTGAGATCTACTATTATAGGCACTACTACAGTTTTGGTATCAGACAACTTGTCTGATTTTGATGGCATTGAATTTTGACATAAGCCCATTGGGGCTTTTCTGGAGGTGAAGTACAATAACTATATCATCCAATTTAGGTCAAGGTGGAGATTTGTAAGATATGGCCTAAATTTATCCATAGCAAACTTGGAGCCAAAGAAGTCTAGCTTGGAGCCAAAGAATAAAAGTATTTTTTTTATTCTTTTTTCTTTACTTGGGGACCAAGAACTTTGCCCTATAAATATAGGCCATCTTACTTCATTTGAATCATCCCATATTTTGCTTAGAAGCTCACTTTGAGTATTCTTGTAATAGAGAGTTTTATTATATTTTATAGAGTTAGTGTTGGGAAACACTTTGAGTGAACCTCTTCTTTGTGAGTGATTATAGCGAGGTTATTCTCTTGGGATATATTTTGGGATAGTTAGAGTTTCATCTCTAATTTTGTACTCTCTTTTGTGTGCCGATTATTATAGTGAAATTTCTCCTCTCCGCTTGTGGACGTAGGTCACCTTGATCGAACCACGTTAAATTTGTGCCTCCTTTTTTTTGGTAACTAAAATTTTTTATTAATCACCAAAATGATTACATATAAGTTCCATAGTAGACTACATCACAGTCTACTATCTGATAATATTCACAAATGACAAAGACACATATTCCCAGAATTAACTAACTTTCAACTGCTGAATCCATTCTTTGATTCTTGTTGGTGCTCGAACATTACACACATAAGCAATTTCCCTCACCAGTTGACTTGCATTCTTTGATCTGCCTTCAAATCTGCGTTGATTTCTTTCTATCCATATTGCATACACCCATTTTGTGTATGCCATCTTGAATACTTGAGCTCTTTTTGTTCTGCCTTTTGCTCTTTCGATGATCCAGTTCTCCATCTGCTCCCATTGTGTTGTTTTGAAAATTTGAACCTTCATCCATTTTAGTACCTCTTCCCAGATTTCCATAGAGTAAGGGAATTCCATAAATAAATGGTTCCTTGTTTCATTATGCCTATTACTCAGTTTACATATATGATCCACAGTTATGCCCCAAGAAGCAATTCTGTCCACTGTTAGTAATTTCCCTTGCATCTGCAGCCACATTGTGAACTGGGCTTTTGGTCGAGTATCATTCCTAAACCTTAGTGTCTTTCATGGTATCCTCTCATTGTTGCCAATTAGTTGAAGGTAAATCTGCTTTATTAAGTTATTTTTGTTGCTGTGTTGAACCAGTGTCACAGATCTATCTGCTTCAAAGATTCTCCTCACCATCCATCCTGCATTCATCGGTATGGCCATTTGATCAAACTGTTGGTTCTTAATATAATAAGAGTGTACTCATCTGATCCACAGTCTATCCACCTTATGTTCAATGTCCCGTTTAGCTTTAATCGTAGCTGCCTTATTCCATAGTCTCATATTTATCAATCCCAATCCACCTATAGATGCCTCCTTTATATACTTTAATTGCCATTATTATCAACTTGCATTGTATTTGTTATTGTCATTATAACGTTGTTTGGCTAAATTCCACACTACCTGGATTCCCGATCCTAACAGTACATTACTATATTTATTTTGGTATAAGTGTATGGGTCCAAATTTGATAAACTACGACTTATTACAAGTACGACAAGCGATAGGGTACCTCCGCGTCGACGTCCCGAAAGAGGCGACCTTAGGACAGAAGAAGAGGTTGTACGACCTTTGTAATATTGTATGCCCATTTGGGGCCATTGAGAATATTGCATCGAATATTCTTGACAGTTTGCTTCTGACGATTTAGAAGAGTCTCCCTTTAGTATATAAGGGGGACGAAGAACTTTGTAAGGAGGATCAAAAAACTCTTGTAACGAGAACATTATCTGCGAATAAAAGGAAATCTATTGGGAATCATATCTTCATCACTTACTCTTTCTAGTGTTTATTATACTCAGCTAAGATTTACTCCTTCATCTTTTAATCGATTTGTTCAAAAAGGTTTTTATATCTTTTGAGTCAAATAATACGAGCAACCCTATTAAATAATTGTTAATCTGTAATCTAAATCATAGAGCCCTGGTAGGTTTTTGTCTAGGGAGTTTCTTTTATTTTACCAATCTAGGGATGTTTGCTCTCAACATATGGAACAATCTAAATAAATATAAATAATTTCACGACCAGAATAATTTAATCGCTATGCATAACAAGTCATCTTCTATTTGATATTTTGATTTGAGCTTTGGTAAAAAAAAAACATGCTTTTTGGGGTGAGAGAAACTATTTCACCAATCGAGTCAGATGTATCTAATATATTCATAAAAAATTTCAGACAACATAAATTACACAAAATCACCATTCTAATTAACTTGTCCTAATCTCCATCCTTGATAATTACCTTAGCGGATAATCATATAGTGGCAGTTTTTCTAAGGATCGTAAAATTTTAATTCAAGTTCCAAAAATCAAAGCATAAGACAGTAGGGTGTGCAGCAACCCAAAATTCAAGTTCCAAAAATCAAAGCATCAGACAGTAGGGTGTGCAGCAACCCAAAAACAATGATGATCCATGCACTTTTGCCTTGAGTGCCTAAACAAAAGTAGCCTGCTAAACACCAAAAAGTAAAAAATATTCAGTATTAATGAACAATACCCCAACAAAATATTAAAGAAGTTTAAAAGAATTTAATCACTTAAAGGACAACAAGGAAAAAGGAATAAGCCGGAAGGGATAATGCCAATAAGTTGACAGAAAATAGTGATATTTTTTGGGGCATTTCCCCAAATTCCGAAATAAGAATAATTTAAAGAATGGAGGGGAAAGGAGAAGGAAAGGAGAAGGAAAGGAGACGATCAAATAGAAACCCATCAAGAAAGGACTCAAAAGAACGGAGAAAAAAATAGAAAAATTAACACTTCATCAAATACTTATAATAAAGAAACAAAAGGAGGAACAGAGAAAAATCACTAGAACCTAGAAATAAAATGAAGGCCAAGGATTAATTGAAATTCAAATAAAAAAATTTGTTGAAAAAAAAGCACCCCAAAGAGGGTGAATGGAAAATGGAGGGAAATAACATTTTTGAGTGAAATTTTAAGCTTCCCCCCTTGGCAAAGGGACATTGTCCCATATTAGATGAGCAAAAGGTTTTTGATGGTTATATAAGTAATTACTCTTCTTCTAGCTCATAAAGAGTTGAAAAGAAGACAAGCCTCTTGCCGTAGTCGTCGTCGTCGCTCGGCTTCGGCTTCGGGTTTGGTCAAATGATCGATTGATTAATTTTTGGACCAAATTTATTTGTTAATAGTAAAATATTAACATAAATATTATTAAATATTTGTTTTAATAACTTATTAATATTAAAATAAATATGAATATTAAATCCAATTCAGTTATCCAAATTTCAGTTTTCTATTTTTGTAACAAAAAATTAACTACCCTTCAATTTTTCCTCTTTATTTTCCCTCTTTATTGTTGAGTAAATAGCCATTTATGTTATATCATTTATGTTGTGGCCGTTTTGCATAAAGTGTCATTTTGAAGAGTTGCACCTCTTTAGATTCCAGCCCAACTATGGCTATAAATACAAGGCTATTCTGCTCAGAATTTTCATACGATTTTCTGAGTTTCTCCTCCTTCTTCTGCATACTTTTACCATCAAACAAAGCAACAGTAAGTGTGATTTGCTACCGAACTTTGTGTTCGCTGAAACACTGGGGGTTGAAGTACCACTACACTAGTGTGTAATTCGTTCTATCCTGGGAGGAGATAATTCATAACCTTGGGTATTAGGAGGGGATTAAATTCCTAAAGGAAACACTGTGAATTTAGTGGCCTCGAATTGATTTCTATCTCTTTACGTTTTCTGTTTATATATTATTCTGTTTTATTTTTTTCCAGAATTATTTTACAATTACAGTTTGATAACAAGCTTAAGGAAATTTATATATATTTTCTGTATTTGTACTCACTATTTTTGGAGAGTCAAACCTTTGTGGTTTGTATGGAAATTGCTACAGCTGTGGAATAGCCGGACGCAAATCTACGGAGTGTCGTGCTCCGAAGAAAGACAAGAAGAAGGGTCAAGCAAACATGGTTGAAAAACATGATGATGTTGATGACTTATGTGCCATGCTTTCCGAATGCAACTTGGTGGGCAATCCTAAAGAGTGGTGGATTGATTCTGGAGCCACTCGCCATGTTTGTGATGTTAGAGAAGCTTTTGCTACTTATGCTCCTGTTAGACCCGGTGAGATGCTTTCTATGGGAAATGCTACAACGGCCAAGATTGACAGATATGGGAAGATATTTCTCAAAATGACTTCCGGCATAGTGGTGACTTTGAACAATGTCATGTTCCCAAGATTAGGAAAAAATTAGTCTCTGCTGGACGTCTTGTTAAGAATGGTTTTAAATGTGTTTTTGTTTCCGATAAGATTGTAATAAGTAAGAACGAAATGATTTTAGGAAAAGATTACCTCATTGAGGGTCTTTTCAAGCTGAATGTGATGGTTGTTGAAAATAATAATAAAATTTCAGCTTCGTCTTACTTACTTGAGTCAAATGAATTATGACATATACGTTTGGGTCATGTTAATTATAAAACCTTGTGGAAAATGATTAATTTGGAAGTATTGCCTAAATTTGAATGCGAAAAATAAAAATGTCAAATATGCGTGGAATCTAAGTATGTTAAACATCCTTATAAGTCAGTTGAAAGGAATTCAGATCCTTTAGACTTAATCCACACAGATATTTGCGATATGAAGTCAATACCATCTCGCGGTTGAAAGAAGTATTTCATAACTTTCATTGACGATAGTACTAGATATTGCTATATTTACTTAATTAATGGTAAAGATAAAGCAATATACATATTCAAGCAATACAAAAATGAAGTTGAAACGCAACTTAACAAGAAAATCAAATTGATAAGAAGTGATAGGGGTGGTGAATATGAATCTCCTTTTGAACAAATATGTTTAGAATATGGAATTATTCATCAAACAACGGCCCCTTACACTCCCCAATCCAATGGGATTGTAGAAAGAAAGAATCATTCATTAAAAGAGACGATGAACACATTATTGATAAGTTCTGGTTTGCCACAGAACTTGTGGGGGGAAGCCGTTCTTACGGCTGACCGAATGCTAAATCGAGTACCTTTTAGCAAAACACAATCCATTCCATATGAAAAATGGAAAGAAAGGAAGCCCAACTTGAATTATTTTAAAGTGTAGGGGTGTTTGGCAAATGTGTAAGTTCCTAAACCCAAAAGGGTAAAAATAGGACCGAAAATCGTTGATTTTGTTTTCATAGGATATGCGACTAATAGTAAAGCATATTGATTTCTAGTACATAAATCAAAAACCCCCGACATTCATAGTAATATGGTTATAGAATCAGATAATGTTGGGTTCTTTGAAAATATATATTCGTATAAAAAGGAATGTGAGTCGATTGGTGAAGGATCTAAACGACCTCGGGAAGAAACAACAGAAAGCACACTTAAGCAAGAGGATCCAAGACGTAGTAAACGTCAAAGAACGTCTACTTCATTTGGACCAGATTTTATGACTTTATTATTGGAAAATGAGCCTCAAACATTTAAAGACGCTATGTTTTCTTCGAAATCATTATTTTGGATAGAGCCCGTCAATAGTGAAATAAAATCCATACTGAACAACCATACATGAGAATTGGTTGATCTTCCTCCTGGAAATAAACCGTTGGGTTTTAAATGGATCTTTAAGAGGAAAATGAAAGATGATGGCACTATTGACAAATTTAAGGCAAGACTTGCGGTCAAAGGGTACAGACAACGAGAAGGTCTTGACTATTTTGATACATACTCCCCAGTTACAAGAATTACGTCCATACGAACGTTAGTAGCATTAGCTGTAGTTTATGATCTTGAAATTCATCAAATGGATGTTAAGACAGCCTTCTTAAATGGAGAGATGGAGGAAGAAATTTACATGGAACAACCAGAAGGGTTTGTGGTTTCAGGTAAAGAAAAGAAGGTATGTAGACTTGTTAAGTCCCTTTACGGACTAAAACAAGCACCCAAACAATGGCGAAATTTGACCAAACAATATTGTCAAATGGTTTTAAAATAAATGGA